TAGTATATGTGAAGAAATTTCAAGAAGTTTGCAACGAATCTTCAGGGATGAAAGCTTTTGGCTTAAAAATTGGTCAGCACTTGTCTGAATTAATCGATATTTTCTCGTCACGATCAATCTCGTTAATAGTTAAAATTCTCCAGGACTTTGTTCGCGAGATATCCGATGAATATGAAAACTGTATTATTAGCGTCATAGAAGGTCTTGTTGAAATTGGTAATACAGATTCCTACTTTATAGCTGTGAAGAGGTTACCGTCGCTGGATTCGAAGAACAAATATATGACAAGATACTGTGAACTCATTAAAAAATTCCAAGAAATGCAGGAGCCTGTTATTGAGACTGTTTTATACGAACATTTTTTTACGAATATTAATTTTTTCAACATTAATAAAACAAATTAAAGAAACTAAAGATCATAGCGAGTGAGTTTATATATGTATTTCCAGCAATATTATTAATGTTTTGTTATTATTTATTGTTTAATTGATCATTGAATTGCAAGTGTAATTTTATATATTGTACGTTAAACTGTTAATGTCCAAGTCATTTTTAATGAAATGGTCGCGAATTCTTATAAATATTTTATACCTTTTATTTAAAAGGATGCCTAAAGTTTTTTTCAATAAACATTTAAAATATTTCTCGAAAAAAAATAAATGCATATTATAATTTAAGAGTCATACGAGATAGATATTGTATAATAAAGATACCCGTGTTTATAAATTTTTTTGTAGCGATTATATATAAGTAAAAGCGCAATGTGAGTTACATATAAAGGTTTTTTTAAGCAATTTAAATACATGTGGCATTGCATAGTATGTGTCCATTTACCTCAAATCTTATTTAATAGATATGATTATATTATCTATTATCAGTACATTTTTCAAGCAAACGAACAAATAATGGATACATTCTTCGCGGCATACGATAACTTTTTTCACACAAATCCTCTAGTATCTTTCCTGAAATACCTTTTTCTACGCGATTTAAAGATTTTAAAGGAAATAGAGAAAAAGTAATAAAAGTTTTTTTACTCTCTACAGTAAATAATTTTCGAAATTTTTAAACTAATTTCTATAATAAATCAGAAGATATTTGTGTCACTTGTGACTAACATCGATAAAAATGATATACTGTTAAATCAGAAGATTAAATATATCAATTGATTCATCAATTGATTTTCCTCGATTTATATCATTTGATGTATCAACGAATATGAGAGAGGGCAGAAATTCTATTATAAATTTTTTCACAAATTATAAACTGTACAGATTTTACGAAGCGAAATGAAGAGAATTGATATTAAGTAAGTAAACCGAAATAAGTATTTTATCTTTACTAAGATCAATTACTATGAAATCATGTAAAAGTGCAAGTCATTTATTATTGTCGTTAATATAATAAAGAGGGGACGAGGAAAAAAAGTGAAATTGTAAAAATAAAATAAGAGAGATTTAAAATACTAAGGTACGTGACTTTGAATGTTTTTGGAAGAATATGAAAAATAGTTGCGGCGTGCTAGTTACATAAACAAGACTCATTTTCCTGACGCAAGTAGCGTTCCAATTGCAAAATAACACTAGTCATTATACCAGTAATAACGACTAATCATTCATCAAAAGAAAAAAAACCGATAGCTTAGATGATTAATTATCGCATTTCTACAGCTACGTACTTACGCGATGCATCAAAACCGGTGATGAAGTCGGGACATGGTATATAAGCCGTTGATCCTGCTGGAGTGTTCGGCCAGCAGGACCATCCATCGAAAGTGAGTCGACAATATGGTTCTGAAATAAAAGTTTAAACAGGAGATGAACATTCTGTTGTAACAGAATGATAGACCGATGATCTCATAAAACGCGTAATTTGCTAGTTAGTATTTAACAATATGCCGAGATTAAATCTCGATATATAAGAAATTGTGAAGCGATATAATGACATCGTAAAGAAAATATCGTAAATAGCACCGCGTAAATTGACTACGGCAAATTGGATACATTTTCTCACGCAATATATACGACGGTCGTAAAAAAGACAACTCGTAACATATTACTCATCACTAACGAACTATAAGAATATATGCCGACAAAAGGCATATTTCCTACATATATGAGATACACGACATACTCATAAAATCTTTTCATTTAGGAGGATAGAATAAAAATTCAAAGCCAATCCGCATTTTTACAAATTGTTGTAAGTGCACATAAAATTTGACAATTTATATTTTAAAAATATATATCATACATCATAAAATAAAACACATTCTATTACATAATATTATAATTGAAATAGAATATCAAAACATATGGAAACATCGTGTTTCAATACATATTCTTGTTCGTTTTCTTTATGTCATTTTCATATCCGTACGTTTATATACGTATAAACAATTCATAAATGCATAAGAAGAGTATAGAAACCTATATGTATAAAAGGGGAACTAACTTTAAACTGTATTAATGCGAAATCACGTTTAAGGGATTCCATCGTGGTTATAAGCTCGAGAAAGTTCGCATTTGCTCACAAGATCTAAGTTTCGAAGAAACATCGATAACATATATTTTATCCGAGATCTCTTTCCGTCAACTTTTATTGAAAATAAATCACTTTCTTCCTTCCCTCGTGTGACTATAGTCTAAGAAAATGGCACATCCGCGATGTTACAAAAAGAATGACTGAAAAAGCCGTATGAAATATTTTCCACAGTTCTACAAACATAGATAACCGCGCATTCTGTTTTCCGGTTATCTAGCGGAATGTTCGATAGATTTCACTATAAGTATTTAATTTGTATCTTCTGGTTGACTCTACCAAGAATTTCAATTAATATAACAAAACATTTTTTCAGCGTACGTATACATCAAATTTATAAAAATTGTCTCGATGTCTTGTAATTTGAAATACAATAAACATAAGTTTTTTAATCTGTTCTGTATAGTAAGATAAAAACATATAAAATTTATTTTTTAGTTGATTACAAGTAAATTTTATTTTAATTTTAAGATTAAATCATTTTATTAAAAAATATATTAAATAATACTAAAAGATAAGAAAAATTTATGACCAATTATTTACCTGTTATTAAATTTTTGTTGTTACACCAAAATTTATTCTAAAATTATTAAACAATTTTACTGCGCAAATGCGGTTCAACTAATTCTAAATTTATTTCGCATTATCTATGTACTATCGTTCTAAGCATGGTGTATATGTCAATGTTCATCTGTATGTGAAAACTTATGGTAAGTGGACATCATATTCTAAAATACATATATATTCAGTGTTGGAACGTATCTAGGTAAAAGAATCAAGATACGGTATCTAGATACTTTAGCTGTACCTAAATGCGTTAATAAGGATCTAGGTAACGCATTTAGGTACAGCTAAAGTATCTAGATACCGTATCTTGATACTTTTACCTAGATACGTTCCAACACTGTATATATTAGATTTTAGAATATGATGTCCATTTTGTTTCTTATGTCTTTATATACAATTTTTGTCTGTATATATTTATGCGCAGTTGCTCTGCTCTAAGTTTATTTTGCATTATATCTATACGTACATAAAAAAATTTGCATGATAAACAGTAATTGAATTTTGAGCATTTTATACAAATATGAAGATATTTGTATAAAATGCTCAAAATTCAATTACTGTTTTTCATGCAAATTTATATATATATATATATATATATAT